CTGTACTCTCATGTTCTTACCCCCAGCTATCTCCCAAGCCTTCCCTTGTGAAAGTTAGAAATGTGCCATATGAAGTCTACTGCATAGTGGCATGTCTAAGTCTTTTGTGAAATTTCATTTGTCTCCAAATTGCTATAATTGAGAGGCACTGGGATGGTGGAGAGCCTTAATTTTCATGATGATTAGATATCAGACAGAACAACTTTCACATCTAGGTCAGAGACTAAGTCAGTCAATAAATAATTTATTAAGTGCCTACAATGTGTCAGGCAACTGAGTAAGGAAGGACACATAGGTATTAGGGAACCTAATAACTGTTTTAGATTAGTTCCAATTAAACTTCATGACCAGCATGATCCAGGGACCCTTGAAATAGTCTGTTCTTCTTTATTCTTTCTCTTCCTCCTTCTCTCTTCCTGCTCCTTTCTCATTCTCCTTTTCTCTCTCCTCCTCCTCCTCCCCTTCCTCCTCTTTCTCCTTCTCCTTCTCCTTTGAATTGGTATCATGTCAGGGGCCTGTACTAGACTATTAAGACCTATTAGCCCCTCCTATAAAGTAGTCGTGAAATTCCTTTTTATTACTCTTTTACTGGATGTGGTTTGACTGATATGATAAAATTAATCATCTTCCTTCTAGAAGAAAATAACAAAGGAAGCCTTGAGGGGAGGGGGCATTAAAATGCTTTGTATTTGATAATGACTTTCACATCATCATATTAATAGCTCCCCTCTTAGGGCTACTTGCTTGAAAAGCCCATAAAGCACAGTTTGGGAGAATATTTTTATATACCTGCGATGTAAATGTCAATCTCAATATTAAGAGGAAAAGTTTGCAAACCAGAATAAAAACTTTGCCTTCAAAAGTTGTTAAACTTTGTTACAGGGTTTATGTGCAGTGGATAAAACACCTCTCCTCCCATAGGTGTATGTATGTATGTATGTATGTATATGTATATATTGCTTGTTTGGACTGTTTGTTGAAATCTTTTCCTTTTATACAGCTGAATATCCAAAAGAGCAGAGAAAGAGTGAGGGAATTCAAAATATAGTAGTGCTCAGATCAGATGAAGTTTGGAAAAATAGTAAATAATGCCTTAGATGGGATTTCTATTTCACAGCTGATGCCTGAGCATCTAACTTGCATAGGGAGTGTCTTTGTCATATCCTTAAATTACCCTATCATTGTCAGATGTCTTTACTGTTTTTTCATTTCCTGGCTTGAACTTGCTACCATCCACTAGTAAGGAAATAGTTAGCTCTATGCCTATGTATTAAACTAGTTTGAAATGTTCTGCAGTAACTGTAAATAGCAGCAGTTATCATACGGGGTGAAACCAATTGGGAATGTGGTTTCTTTTTGTTTCTTTAGGATTTTGACTTGATCTTGATTCCAAAAATAGTGAGTTTTGGACTGAGTACTTCTACTATTCTCTGGCCTCTTCCAGTTAGACACATGCCAGAATCATTTTCTAAAGGATAGGCACTGATTAGAGAAACGCAAGTTAAAACAACTCTGAGGTGCCACCTCATACCTATCAGATTGGTGAATTTTGCAGAGAAGGAAAATGAAAAATTTTGGAGGGAATGTGGGGAAATTGGGACAGTAATACATTATTGGTGGAGTTGTGAACTTATCCAACTATTCTGGAGAACAATTTGGAACTATACCTGAAGGGCTATAAAACTGTGCATACCCTTTGATCCAGCAATACCACTAGTAGGTCTGTATCCTAAAGAAATTGTTTTTTGAAAAGGGAAAAGGACCTATTTGTACAAAAAATTTATAACAGCTCTTTCTGTGGTGGCAAGGAATTGGAAATTGAGAGGATGTCCATCAATTGGGGAATGGCTGAACAAGTTGTGTGGTATATGATTGTAATAGAATGCTTTTGTACTATAAAAAACAAGCAGATTGATTTTAGAAAAAATAAAAAAAACTTGAGAAGACTTACATGAACTGATGCAAAGTGAAGTGAGAAGAACCAGGAAAATATTGTACATAGTAACAGCAATATTGTATGATGATCAATGGTGAATGACTTAAACTTTTTTCAGCAATACAATAATCCAAGACAATCCCAAAGAACTCATGATGAAATGCAGATAGAAGCATATTACTTTTTACTTTCTTTACTTTTTGGTGTGTTTTTTTGGTCTTTTTTTTTTTTTACAACATGACTAATATGGAAATATATTTTGCATGATTGCACAGGTATAACCTATATCAAATTGCTTATGATCTCAAAGAGGGGAGGGAGGAAGGGAGAAAATTTGGAATTCAAAATTTACAAAATGAATGTTAAAATTTATTTTTATATATAATTGGGAAAATATAAAATATTATTCATAAAAAATAAAGGATAGGTGTGACCAGAAGCTTCTTATTGGTCCTTATGACTATGTGATTCCATCAGAGATGATTGGCAATAGAACAGGAAGAGTTGACCTTTTGGTAGGGTATTAGTGTTGAAGAAAATCACTTTTAAACTCTAAAAGTTTGTACTTAGAATAAAGGGTTAGATGTTTTCTCTCCCCTTTCTCCATCTGGCCTCTAGGAACAATGGTGGTTAAAACATGGCAGCAAGTACTTGAGCTTGTCTTGGACCTGAGATAAGACCTCAAGTTCCAGGATGCCTCTTCTGTTTCAGGTTTCCTTCCTTGAACCCAACTTTATTGCTCAGCCATTCATTCATAACCGACTCTTTGTGACCCTGTAGATTATACTATTTATGTTTTGTTTTGTTTTGTTTTTTTGGCAAGGATACTGCAATGGTTTGCCATTTCCTTCTCCAGTGGATTAAGGCAACTGGAGGGTAAGTGACTTGCCCAGGGTCACACAGTTGATAAGTGTTTGTGGCCAGATTTGAACTCAGGTTTTCTGACTTCAGGCCCAGTGCTCTATCCATTGAGTTATGTAGCTTCTCCATTAGTGCAACTTGCTGAACAACAGTTCTGAGAAATGGGCATTTTTACCTTGACCTTGCCTTCTTAGTCTTCTTACATCTTACTCACCTCCACGTATACTGTGACACAATGATACTGGCTTAATTGCTGCCCTTTTTACGTGCCACTCCATTTCTGACTCCAAGTGTTTTCTCTGGCTGTCCCTGAAGACTGGCAACCTGTCCCTCCTTAGTTCTACCTCCTGGCTTCCCTGGATTCCTTCAAGTCTCAGCTAAAGTCCCACCTTCTACAAGTGAGTTTCTATTCTTAATCTTAATGCCTTCCCTCTGAGATCACCCCTGATTTTCCTGTATATATCTTGTAGTGTTTACATGTTGTCTCCCTGCCAGACACCCCTACATCTCTCCCAGATAGTGAGGTCCTTGAGAACAGTGAATATTTATTAAAAAAAAGTTCTTTGTATCCCAGGTGCTTAACACAGTTGCTGGTTCATAAAAGGTACTTAATCAATGGTATCTGGCTGACCGACTGACTGACTAGACTTATCCTGCCTCTAATCTCATGTATTTAAGAGTTTGGAAGTTCCTATCCTATATCTACTTTGCATATTTCTAGAAGGGACTCTTTTTGATTTAAGAGAGATGTTAGATCCGATTTTCCCCAGAAAAACCTTTATTTTAGAGATTAGTTTATTTTTTTATTTAGTGCTAAGATATTTTCTCTGGAACTCCTGTGGGGCATAACAAGACAGAAAGAAGAGAAAAAGCCTTACTACATCTTTTCAATGTCAGGCTACCCCAGGACTAAACCTTATTTTTGTGATCCAGAGCTGAGGACCGTCATGAAAAGCTCTCACTACTGCTTGCAATTCATAAGTAACAAATCAGAAAAACAAATAGTTATTATGAATCATTGCTACAGTGGAAGTAATAATATTATACCTATGGTGGACGTAACCTAAGTGACTTAACCTGTCAACAAGGGTATCCCTTACTTACAGGATGTTTACTAACTTAATCTCAAAGACATGACATCAAGATGGCAGCAGATCTGTTATGTTCTTATGTTTATATGGATCAATTTGAAGGACCAGAAGCCTCAAAATTGGTGGTTAGAATTTTCTGAAGACCTTCCCTCTTAACATATTTTCCTCCCTTGAAAGACACAGTCCCCACCTGGTTCACCACAGGCTTACCTGTTGTACTCTTTAGATGGTCTGAAGATATTTTAGATGAATTAACAATTGTGAATTCAAACTTTACCCAGTATGAATAGAGACTGAAAGAAATCCAGGCTGAGTAAAATTATTTAAGTCTAGGGCAACTCCAATAGCCTGGATGATTATAAGTGTCCTAAATTGAAGGGTGGAGGAGACAGCTGCTGCCCAAAGACCAGATCCCAGTTTGTTGAAGGATGGCATCCCAACTTTCAGGAAAACCACTTTTACTGTTATGACCCCAACTCTCTCCTTTTTCAGTCTCTTATTGGAATAAGCTACCTGCTTCTCTCCTCCTCATTCGTATTTCCTACTTCTCATTCCTCACTTCTTATAAAGAACAAATGATCATTAAATGTCAACTAGGCAAGAGGTCTACAGTGAAGTGATCCAAGGATTTCTACTTGGCCTTCTGTTGGTTAACAGTTTATCAATGAATAACATTAAGGTATAATTGGTCTAAATCTGATGTGATGAATTTCATTAGATATAAATGTAAAGTCTTATACTTGAGGTCCAAGAATCATCTTTTACAAAATGATGAATTGTCTGACCCTTGTTTGAAAAAGGTCTGGAGATTTTAGTGGAATAAACAATAGTGTTATGTGGAATAAACAATAGTGTTATGTGATAGTTGAAATTAAAACTAAGGTGATCTTGGGTTTCATCAAGTGTCATAGCTTCTAAGAATAGTAAAGTGATACTTCCTTTGTCCTCTGCTCTGTCATGTCATATCTGCTGAATTTTATTCAGATCAGTTGCTATAGTTTAGGAATGATATTGATAAACTTGAGAGTGTCCAGTGAAGTATGACCAGGTAAGTGGTCACAAGAAAATAAGGTCACAAGAAAAACCTTGTTTTCTCTTCGTATAAACATTAGGTGAAGGTTGTGATGTTTAACCCAAAGAAGAGATAGAAGAGATTCTTCAGGGGGATGATAGAGATGGAAGAGTATATGAGACCCTGCCAAAGGGAAAAGGAGTTAGGCCCTAAATTTGACCCCACCAGCTGAAACCAGAAGTAATGAGTTGAAGTTTTAAAGAAGAAATGTAGATATCAAGGACTAAAAAAAAATCTTAATTAAAATATTTAAAAGCACAATGGACTGCCTTGGCATATGGTGAATTCTTTCCTCGCTGGAGGTTTTCTTCTTTTTTTTTCTTTTTAAAAATTTTATTAATTTATTCTGATTTATCAACAATCACTTCCATATGCTTTTGAGTTTAAAATTTTTCTCCCCCTTCCTCCCCATCCCCCTCCCCAAGATGGCACACAATCTGATATAGGCTATACATTTACATTCCTATTAAACATATTTTCACATAAGTGAAGTTGCAAGTAAAAATTAAAACCAATAGGAGGAACCATCAGAAGGAGGAAACAAAACTGAACAGAAGAAAAAAAAAGATAATGATTCAACTTTCACAGTTATGATTACTGTCTGTGCCTTTTTCTCCATCCTTTCCCCCCTATTTATGCTTTTCTTTCTCCTCCCCCCCATCACCAGTACTTTGCTTTTTACCACTGCCTCCTTCAGTTTCTCCTCCCTTCTATTATCCTCCTCATCACTTCTTCCATCCCTTCCCCTTTTCTTTCCCCTTTTCCCTCCTACTGCTCATAGGGCAAGTTAGATTTCCATACCTAACTGATTATGTTATTCCCTTCTTGAGCTAAATCTGATGAGAGTAAGGTTCAAACAATGCTCACCGCCCTCCCTTCTTTCCCTCTGCTGTAATAGGATTTTCTGTCTTTTCCTGTAATGTAATTTACCCTTGTCTGCCTCCTCCTTTCTCAGTATATTTTCTAAGATCAGACTAATCCTCTTACTTGGATCCATTTAACCTACTTGATCAGATTTTTTTTTTAATTGTTACATCAAAGTCAACTAATATCCACCCCCTTTATGTATACTCCTTTAACATGGTGTAATAACAATACAATTCTCAAGAGTTGCAAGTATCATCTTCCCTTGTAGGGATGTAAACAGTCTGCCCTTATTAACAACATTTTGTGTCTTTCTGTCCCATTTACCTTTTTATGTCTTTCTTGAATCTTGTACTTGAAGATCAAATTTTTTGTTGAGCTCTGGTCTTTTTATGAGGAAGGTTTGGAAGTCCCCTATTTTATTGAATATGCACCTCCTCCCTTGAAAAATCATGCTCATTTTTGCAGGGTAGTTGATCCTTGGCTGCAATCCAAGCTCCTTTGCCTTAAGGAATATGTTCCATGCCCTGCGTCTTTTAATGTAGAAGCTGCAAGGTCCTGTGTAATCCTGACTGTGGTTCCATGATATTTAAATTGTTTCTTTCTGGCTGCTTGCAGCACCTTCTCTTTCATCTGGTAATTTTGGAATTTTGCTATTATATTCCTTGGATTGTCAATTTGGGATCTCTTTCAGGTGGTGAGTGATGTCTTTCTATGGTTATTTTACCTTCTGGTTCTAGGACTTCAGGGCAGTTTTCCTTTATGATTTCCTGAAAGATACTGTCCAGGCTCTTTTTTTCATCATGATTTTCAGGTAGTCCATGATTTTTAAATTGTCTCTCCTGGATCGATTTTCCAGGTCGTTGTTTTACCATGAGTATTTTATGTTTTCATCCATTTTTTCATTTTTTGTTTCTGTTTGACTGATTCTTGCTCTCTCATAGAGTCATTAGTTTCCATTTGTCCAATTCTAGTTTTTAACAGATTGTTTTCTTCTGTTAGATTTTGTACTTCCTTCTTCAATTGACCAATTGTATTTTTAAGGGATTTGTTTTCTTCAGTGTACTTTTTTTCCAGTTTGCCAATTGTGTTTTTTAGGGACTTGTTTTCTTCAGTGTACTTTTTTTCCAATTGGCCAATTGTATTTTTTAAGGACTCTTCTACCCCTCTCATTAGACTTTTAAAATCCTTCTTGAGCTCTTTCTAAGAAGGCTTTTTGGGCTTCAGACCAGTTCATATTCCCTTTTGATGTTGCAGCTGTGGGTTTGTTGACAATGTTGTCTTCAGAATTTTTGTCTTGATCTTCACTCTTCTATGGTACATTTCTTTTTACTCATGGTTTCTTTCTTCCCTGGCTTTTAAAGATATTGAGCTCTCCTACTGGGGAACAGAGGGAACTGACTCAAGCTTCTTGTGTTGGGAGCCTAGATCTTGGTCACTGGCTTTGTGTGCTGGGGCCTCTTATGCTGGCAATTGGAGGCTGTAGGTTTCTGGCAACTTACCTGGTGTTGGACTGGAATGAGCAAGTCTGGAACTTTCAGGCAATTCTAGGTTGCCAGCTTTTCCTTTCCTTTAGCTTTTTTCAGCTCCTTTTAGATGGGTGCTGCAGGGTGTTTATCTGCCTGGGGCCCCTTGCAATGCTGCCTCCCTCTTTTCTGCTAATGCACTGGGAGATTCCTTTGAGGTATAGTGCTGAGGCACCTGGTGGTTTTCTGAGCTGGTTTCCACCAGTTCCCTGCCCTCATTGAGGCACTTGGAGGTCCAGGTATTGGTATTTGCCTGCTCTACCACCTGGGTTTCAGGATCTTCTCGTGGTTGACAGTTGGAAGCTGTATGGTTCTGACAGGTTACCTGGTATTGGGTTGGAGTCAGCAAGGCTGGGATTTTTAGGAAGACTCTAGGTTGTTTTCTCTAGCTCCTTTCAGATGAATGCTGAAGGGTGCTTATCACTGAAGGGTGCTGTGGCACTGGCAGAACGGTTTGCTGGGCTGCTGTACTGCTACTCCCTGTCTTTCTTCTAGTTCAGCTGTTCCAGGTTTTTTTTTTCCTAAGGGTGATATTTTCTGGGTTTTCAGAGGTTGATAGGGGAGGGTGAGAGTGACTACCTTTTTACTACAACATCTTGGCTCCCTGAAGTGAAAGTCTGCCCTTGCTGGAGGTTTTCAAGAACTTGGGTGACCATTTTGGGGGTATGTTTTAATAATGATTTCATTTAAGATATAGACTAGATGGTTATTGAAGTCCTTGCCAACCCTGAAATTCTGTTATTTTTGGGGAGAGGTTTTGGGAACTCTTCCTGATTGTAGGATTTACTTCCTGCCCAGTATTAGTTTTCCATGATTCATATAGCTCTCCTTTGTTGGGGATACAAGCCCACATGTCCAGTTGTGTGTGGTTGTCTTCACGTTGCTGAAGAATAGAGTATTATAACAAAATCAAACCATCTTTTTTTTAAACCTATTTTCTCTTGTAGCAGGCTGCCTCTTCTCTCAATATAACTTTTCATCCTACTCTTTTCTGGAAATTTCCATGTCCTGGGATAATACAGCTAAGGCCTTGCCAGCTAACCCCCTGCCTATGACATCAGAGTAACCAGTCAGACCCACAAATGAAGGCCCAATCTTCCTCCCTCTAAAATCTCTGGTCCTGTTAAGGTATCTTAATGGGGATATAAATATGGAGGAGGTGGTTTTTCAGTTAGCTACCACATAGATTAGAAATTAGGGCTGTTGAAATTGTGTCTACTCTGGAGGAGTAGACACTCTTCTTCCTTTTACCCTGCTTTCTTTTGTCATGGCTTGAAATCCATTGTACCTGAGGTCTGACAAGCTTTCCTAGCTGACCTTGCTGAGGTGTGTTGCTGTCCCCAGCTATTAGCATAATCTGTATGAGTTTAAAGAGATCAGTAAACTCCAATGCTCCATGTCAACTCCAGGGTCAAATATAAAATCCCATTTGGCACTGAAAACCCTTCATAGCCTCTCCCCTTACCTTTCCAGTCTTTTTGTACTTTGCACTTCACCTGCACTGCCCTCATTGTTATTTCTCCAACAAGACGCTTGATCTCTCTATTCCAGGCATTTTCACTGTCTGGAACTCTCTTCCTCCTGATTTCAGCCTCCTGGCTTCCTTCAAGCTCCACATAAAATCTCTCCTTCTGCTGGAAACCTTTTCTAATCATTCTTAATTCTAGTGCCTTCCCTCTGTTAATTATTTCCAAATTATCCTTTCTATAACTTGCTTACACTTTTTTTTTATGTTGGCTTCTCCCTTAGATTGAGAGCTCCTCAAAGACTTTTACTTTCTTTGTATCCTCAGCACTTAGCACCATGCCTGACACATAGGAGGAAATTAATAAATTTGATTGACTGACTGATTAATAAAGGCCTGCTTCTTTCAGTATGTGTTGACTTGTCTGATTCCTATAATAGCCTGAATTTGTACAACAATGCTGAAAGTGATTGTATAAGATAATATTTAAATCCCTGGGAATTGATAATATCTTCTAGGGAAGAAGGTTGTATCAATGAACTGATACTCCATTTTTCTTTCAATTTAAATTCAAATCTTTGTTTCATCACCTTTATTTACATTCCCCTTCTTTTGCTTCTACTCATTTATTATTCAGAGAGAAACAGTTCAATAAAATTAAACAACAAATGAACTAAGTCTGAAAGTATATGCAATGTTCCATACTCAAAGTGTCCCATCTCTATAAAGGAGGGAAGGAGGTACATTTCCCCATCTCTTTGAGAATATATTTGGTCATTATAATTACATCATGAATAACTGATATCTATATAGCAGAGTTAAAGGGGATGGTGCCCATCCCTCTTCTACTGACTTCTCTACATGAGGCTCCTTCCCCACTCTGAGAAGTAGTATCATCAGATATGTAACTTTCCTTGTCATTTTGCCAGATCTGAACCTGAGTCAGACAGTATTTCTGGTAAAACACACCAATGTTAGATCTTTTTCTGTCTCTGTGCTGCGGATGTTTTCTCCACAGTTGTTTCTTCCCAATTGTGTTCTCAAAACTACAACTGCACTAACAATTGCCAGTGATTGGTATTGTTTATAAGGACAAGAGGAACACTTAACGATAGTTAAAATTCACATAGCACTTTCAGATTTGTGAAGTGCTTTATAAATATATTTTTTTCACTTGATCTTCTCATCAGGCCAGGGAGGTTGATGCCATTATGTGTATGAGATGTTCAAGGAGTACTAGTACCTGTGGTGGGAGGGGTTTCCAAGCCTTTGCTGTCTTCCTAGCACTCACCTCTCACCTGTGGCT